CCTTGGGTGTTAAACCAACACCCTGAACTAGGTGTGGAAACCCTTAGACACCTATAAGAGGCTCCCCATGGGGCGTGGTGGGTGCCCCCTTAGTCGGAAACAGGCAACGGATCCACTGAACCGATCTTACAATACAACCAGCAATTTACCACACTGATGGACTTACTACCTATTTCACTCTTTCCCTCTCTTTCTCCCCCCTCTTTCTAAAATTTGCCTTTGTTTACTTTCTGTCTACTGTAGACAGCCACATAGTACTTGTAACCAATTTGTACTTTCTTATTCATTTTAATATGTGAATACCATCTGTACTGAACCCTATGTGCAATGTCTCGTCTATTTATGGAAATCCAATAAAATACTTTGTTACAAAAAAAAAATATTCCATACGTTCTCTTTAGTTTTAGGATTGGGTTAAGGATTAAGTGTTAGGCATACAAGAAAGAGGGACACCTTTTAGTACAAAGTGTGTAGCCAAAGAAAACCCCTGCCACACATCCAGCTATGCAGACAATGAGAACATAATATAGAAAACTGTGCTTTCACTGCTTTTAATTTATACTGAGTTTTCAAAATAGTAAATGCAATATTATAGAGGTTGGCTGGAAGTTTCAGTGCTGTATAACACGTCTGATGGTTCAATAGTTCTTTTTTAATAGAGGTCTATACATCAGGCTAAGAAGAGGGATAACTGAGTAGAAAAGAGGGAAAGCAGAGGGATTTGGGCCCTAGAATGGCATAGTCTTTCCAAAATAGGGGTCAGTTGGGAGCTAAGTGTTAGGGGAAAGAGAAGAGTTTGAGTATATGGAGCACAAACAAAAAAAATTGAGTACAACTCTGCTATACATCCACATTTCTTTGTGTTAATATTTTTAAAAATGCAACAAGGAGAGTCAGTTAGGCAACTCTGTTAGGCAGCCAGGGTAGATACCCAAAAAATTGTTGGGATCCTTCCTGGCTGCAATATCAACCTGATTCTGTACTTCCAATGTCTCCAAACCCTCTCACCCAGAATTTGACCCACCCCCTGCCACTCAATGCTACCCCCCTTCCACTACACCCACCTTTTACCCAGCTTCCCTTTCCCACCATTCTCCGGGTCCAAGATATTTTTCCCTCTGAGCCACCCCTTGCACACAATTCTCTTTTTCCTCTGATGCAGCACCTCCCACTCTTTTTGTTCATATGCTAGCTCCTACATCTGTAAGGCTGCATTCACACCTAGGCGTCAAACTTTTTCAGCGCATTTTACGCACGCTTCGTTTGACATGTTTTGCACATTTTGTTCCAATTGACGTGCGGTTTGCAGCTTTTACAATAGTGTTTTTATATGCTATAGGGACAAAATGCACGGTAATCTGCCAAAAAGAAGCTTGTGTACTTTTTCCAGCATTCAGCGTATTACAGTTTGCATAAAACGTTCAGGTGTGAATGGGGCCATAGGAATGAATAGGATTTCTTGTTTTGCATGTTTTTTCGCGTATAGATATGCACGACAAAATGCCTAGGTGCGAATGCGGACTTACGCAGTATCTCTCCCAGCCCTATGATTGCCTTCACCTCTCAGATAATTATGCCCTGTTCCACTGCCAGCTTTTGCGTCACCCTCTTAGTCCAATACTGCTTTTCCTCTTAGCCACCTCTCACAGCTTCCTCTCAGCCCCTCTTTTATGCATTCCCTCTAACAAAATTCTATGATACACATGCATTTAATCTGGATTTTAAACCCACAACCTCACATTTGCACAGCACACATATCAACATACTGTACATTTAAAAAAAAAAAAAGCCAATACTAAAATAACCATAGACAGGGCTTGGAAATTGCCAACAATTCCATTCCACTTGGTCAAACAAAAAATGTTGTGGATTATGGTCCATGAGAAACTTCACAGCATCCTCCAAGATACTAAAAAATGCTTTGAATTGACATCTACCCCCTCGATGTTATATACAGGGGTGCTGGAAACTGGGTAATTTCCATTGTACAATTTTTCTGTTATTTGTTTTTTAATGTTTAAGTAGATGTTGGGCTATCTGGTCGGGGACGGATCTACTTTTCTCGGACTTAAGCTGTTCTGCTTCTTTTAGTATCTTTTTCCTTTTTTTTCCCCTCTTTTCTGTTTCCTCTTTCTTTAGGCTCACGCACGTGAGCTGTTCAGTACATTGATGTCGGACGGAAAGTCTTCTATGTACATAGATATGTACATAGATATGGAGGAGGTCATACCAAATGTTTGCCTCAGACACAGGTGGATCCCTATGCCTGATATTTCTCTCAGACTGTTTTGTTTTTGTTTTTGTTGATGGGGGATAATTTGGCAAGAGTAAGTGGATAGATATGTTCTGTTTCACAGAATTATTATGCATTGTGCGTATGGCCCTCTTACTACCGACTATGTTAATGTGGGAGACTCTAAGACGCAACTGTATACTATACTATTTCGTAATTCGTATCCAAAACTCAATTCGGATTCGTACGAAATACGAATTTTCGTTAGTTTCGGCACATTTTCGTAACTTTACGAACATTCGTTATGATGAAGTTAAAAAGCAAAAATACCTTTGTTTTATTCGGATTTCGGATGCTTCCGAATTTACGAACTTCAGGAAAATTCCTACGAATTTCGATTCGTAACGAAACGAATCGCACATGTCTACTGCGCAGCTGTTCATGGAAGCTGGATTCTACAGCCAGGAGTGAGTGACGAATACACAGGTAAGTTTTTACCTATTTGGCAACTTTTTTATTTTTTCAAATGTTTTTGCATATATTTACTGCTTGCTAACAGGAGATATATGTAAAAAGAATGGAGAGCTTAAAGGAGAACTATAAGGTCAGTGAAAATCACTCAGCCTCATAGTTCGAGCTGACGGGTGACAATGAAACTGTCACACGTCAGCTCAATAGATCGGGAAGTGAGTGAACACATACCTTCGCTCGCTCACTTCTCGATCCTGTCCCTGCAGAGAGCCGTGACTGTCACTCACGGCTCCCTGCAGGGATTCCCCCTCCCTTGTCCGATCCTCCAGCGCTGACTGGCGGAACGGACGGGGGAGGGGGCGGG